CTAATGAACAATGATTCAGCTACATGCAGGGTTCATTCATGCCATGAGCTAGAGACCATTCCCAAAGCTGTTTCTTATATTTGGGAAGCAGACCACATACCCAGAGCAGCTACTCAGCTGTTCCGATAGATTCCACCATGGAGTTAATTACCAATCCCACCATGGGCATAACTACATTCAGCTGCTCAGCCACTCAACCAGGCCCAGCCAAGTTGACACACAAATTTAACCACCACATGGACTCATAAAGTATTTGTCCTTCTGTGACTGACTTATTTCACTCACTATAATGTCCTCCAAGATCATCCACATTAGGTGTTTTGCAGATTCCACATTATTCTTTAATGTTGTATAGTATTCCATTGGGTATATGTACCATAGTTTGGTTATCCATTCCTCCATTGATGGGCACTTAGGCTGTTTCCATCTCTTTGCCATTGTGAATAGTGCTGCAGTGAACATGGGTGTGCATATATTTACTCATGTCCTGGCTCTCACTTCCTTAGGATATATACCTAGTAATGGTATTTCTAGATCAAATGCTGTTTCTATTTACAACTTTTTAAGGATACCAATTTCCACAGTGGTTGTATCATTTTACAGTCCCACCAGTAGTGTATGAGAGTCCCAATCTCTCCACATCCTCACTAGCATTTGTTATTTTCTATCTTGTTGAACTTTGCTGTTACTGCTGGGATGAAATGTTATCTCATTGTTGTTTCGATTTGCATCTCTCTAATGGCTAATGATCGTGACTATTTCTTCATGTGTTTGTTGGTTGCCTGAATATCGTCTTTGGGGATATGTTTGTTGATGTCTTCTGTCCGTTTTTCAGTTGGTTGTTTATCTTTCTGATGCTGAGGTGTTGGAGTGTTCTATAAATTTTAGATAGATCTAAAATTATATAAATTTCAGATATGTTGTTGCCAAATATTTGCCCTCAATCTTTTAGCTATTTTGGAGAAGTCTTTTGATGCACATAAGAATTTAATTTTTAGAAGGTCTCAATCATCAAGTTTATCTTCTGCTGTTTTTTATTTTGGGTTATGCTTGATAGTCTCTTTACGTCATAAATAGGGAGCTCTGGTAGCATAGTGCCTAAGGCACTTGACTGCTAACCAGAAGGCTGGCGGTTTAAACCCACCAGCCACTCCTCAGAAGGAAGGTTGGGCAATCCTACTTCCGTAGTGATACTGCCTTGGCAACCCAAGGAGGGGTCGCTATGAGTCGGGTCCGACTCAATAGCACATAACAACAACAACAACAAACATGTGTGCCCATGATTTTTTTTTTTTTTTTTGATGAACACTATAGTTTCACATGTCAGTCTTTGATCCATGTGGAGTTAGTTTTTGTGTTTGGTGTGAGATATGGATCTTGCAGTCAAGATGTATTCATTATCACTGATGGCTAGAATGCAAAAGATTATATGGGCATAATATTGAATGATGCAGGAAGCATCAAAAGAAGATGGAAGGAATACACAGAGTCACTATAACAAAAAGTCAGTCTTCATCCATTTCAGGAGGTGGCATATGATCAAGACCCAATGGTATTGAAGTAAGAAGTTGTAGTTGCACTGAAGGAATTGGAGAAGAACAAGGCTCCAGAAAGTGACAGAATACCCATTGAGATGTTTCAACAAACGGAAGCCCCACTGGAGGCACTCACTCGGCCATGCCAAGAGATTTGGAAGACAGCTACCTGGCCAACTGACTGGAAGAGATCCATATTTGTACCCATTCCAAAGAAAGGTGATCCTACAGAATGTGGTAATTATGAAAAAATATCATTGATAATGCATGCAAGTAAGATATTGCTGAAGATAATTCAAAAAGGGTTGCAGCAGTACACTGACAGAGAACTTACAGAAATGCAAGCTAGATTCAGAAGAGGACGTGGAACAAGGCTTATCACTGCTGATGTCAGATGGATCTTGACTCAAAGCAAAGAATGCCAGAAAGATGTCTACTTGTGTTTTATTGACTTTGCCAAAGCATTTGGTTGTGTGGATCATAACAAATTGCGGATAACATTGAGAAGAACGGGAATTCCAGAACACTTACTTGTACTCATGAGGAACCTGTACATAGACCAGGAGGCTGTCATTTGAACAGAGCAAGGGGACACTGCATGGTTTAAAATCAAGAAGGGAATGCGTCAGTGTTGTGCCCTTTCACCACACTTATTTAATCTGTATGCTGAGCAAATAATCTGAGAAACTGGACTATATGAAGAAGAACTTGGCATTAGGATTGCAAGAAGAATCATTAACAACTTGTGATATGCTGACAACACAACTTTGCTTGCTGAAAGTAAGGATGACTTGAAGCACTTAGTGAGGAAGATTGAAGAATACAGTCTGCAGTATGAATTACATCTCAGTATAAAGAAAACAGAAATTCTCACAACTGGACCAATAAGCAACATCACAATAAATGGAGAAAAGATTGATGTTGTCAAAGACTTCACGTTGCTTGGTTCTACAATTGACACCAATGGAAGCAGCAGTCAGGACATCAGATGACGTATAGCACTGGGCAGATTGGCTGCAAAGGACCTCTTTCAAGTGCTGAAGAACAAAATGTCTCCTTGAGGACTAAAGTGTGCCTGATACAAGCCATGATATTTTTCAATCACCTCATATGCATGTGAGAGCTGGACAATGAATAAGGAAGATCAAAGAAGAGTCAATGTTTTCAAGTTGTGGTGTTAGTGAAGAATGCTGAAAGTGCTAGGGACTGCTAAATGAACTAACACATCTGTCCTGGAGGAAGTGTAGCCGGAATGCTCCTTGGAGAATGAGAAGACTTCTTCTCACCTACTTTGGTCATGTTGTCAGAAGGGACCATTGCCTAGAGAAGGATGTCATGCCTGCTAAAGTGAAGTTGAAGAAAGAGAGGAAGGCCCTCAACAAGATGGATTGACATGGTGGCAGTGGTGATGGGTTCAAATATAGCAAGGATTGTGGAGCTGGTGCAGGACCAGGCAGTGTTTCATTCTGCTGTGCATAGAATTGCTATGAGTTGGAGACGACTCGACGGCACCTAACAACAACAACAACAACATGTATCTTGCTTCATTTTTCTGTAAATGAATATACGGTTTTGCCAGCACCATTTGTTAAAGAGACTATCTCTTCCCCATTGAATTGATTTCAGCCCTTTGTTAAAGATCAGCTTACCTTAGGTCGATGGATCTATCTCTGGGTTCTCAATTCTGTTCCACTGGTCTGAGTGTCTGATGTAAAGTTTGTTGTTCTTGAATAGACATAAAACCAATTGCCAATGAGTTGGATTCTGACTGACGGTGATCTATGCGTGTTGGAGTAGAACTGTGCTCTATAGGGTTTTGACCTACTTCTTTTTCAGAAGTAGATCAGGCCTTCCTTCTGAGTATGGAGTTGGACCTCCCTGCTTTTTGCTAATGGTTGAGCATGTTAACTGTTTGAACCATCCAGGGACTTGCAATAGATACAGAGACTGTCTTTTTCATATAATTGTCAGTTGCAAAAGAGGCAACATTTTAAAACAACAAAGAAATGGAAGCTATGCCAGAGTCCTAGGTGCTTACTATCTCAATCTAAATTATTCCCAATCATGAGGGATTGTTGTAAGAGGTGATGCATATCAAGTATTTAGCAGAGGACCTCATGCATTATAATGCTAAATTAATTACATTTATTACTATGGTTGAAGGCAAACGATTTTCTGGTTATATATTATTGCTCATAGTGAGGAATTAATATATACCATCCAAAGATGTAGATATAAGGGTAAACAGTAAAGAAAGATCAAATGAAAAAAGTTTTCAATTATCTGAATACCCATTATACAAAGAAAAGCAAATACATATTTATAGTAAAATATATTTCTAGAAACATATCTTTTATGTCAATGAGATTAAATGTGATAAATGTTCTTATTAAAAGAAAACAGATTCCACATTCAAAACTCAATTGTATGACTGAGAATCACATCTAAAACTAAGTCAGAAAAGTTGAGTATAAAATGATGGGCATAGCTAATAAATTTGAATAAAAATAATTACTTTAAAAAATATAAAGAATGATACTTTGTTATAGTAAAGATAAGAAAGAATAGAACTTCTGTTACACTATGATCACAACTATATAAAATTATATGTAGACATAAAGGCTGAAAAAAAACAAGATGGATTATAGTGGTAAGATTATGAATTTTTGTTTTTAGTTCCATTTCCATTAATGTTATAATTAATAGCAATAATATGATGAAATTCTTAAATTGAGGATTGATTATATATTTAGAAATCTAAGATAACTAGAAGGATAACTGGTAGCACCATGGTTAACTGATCGGCTGCTACTTGGAAGGTAGTTGAAACCCATCAGCCATGCCAAAATTCCTCAGATATGTCCCAGTGCCTGGTGGTTGAAACCAACCAACCACTCCTCGGAAGGAAGATTGGGCAATCTACTTCTGTAGTGATACCACCTCGGAAACCCAAGGGAGAGGTCGCTATGAGCCATGTCCGACTCAACAGTGTGTGTGTGTGTGTGTGTGGGTGGGTGGGTGGATGGGTCCCATTGCCAAAGAAAAAAAGCAGATATTTGTTGAAAAGAGACTTGAACAATCTAATATACATTTTTCACTCAGAGATTAAAACTTTCATTCCCTTTCTTAACCACTGCACTTATTTCTGTTAGGTGGTCCAATAGAAAGTGCTAAGCACATTCTAATGTGATTGTGATGTAATACTGGTGGTGCTCTTAAAATATATTGTTGTTAGTTGCCATTGAGTTGATTTCAACTCATGGCAACCCTATGTGTGTCAGAACAGAACTGCTCAATAGAGTTTTCAAGGCTGTGACGTTTTAGAAGCAGATTACCAGGGCTGTCTTTGGAGGTACCACCGGATGAGTTTAAATGGCCAAAAAAGTGCTTAACCATTGGCGCCACCCAGGGACTCCTACAATATATCACTCTTTATGATGTAATTATCTTCTTCCATTCTTACAGCAATATGAGAACTGGAGGCCCAACCAGCCAGACAGCTTCTTTTCTTCTGGTGAAGACTGTGTTGTAATCATCTGGCATGAGAACGGTCAGTGGAATGATGTTCCCTGCAATTACCATCTCACCTATACCTGCAAGAAAGGAACAGGTAACGATTTTGCCATTAATATTATATACTTAAAGTAATCTGCATTTCAGTTATTGAGAGAATTTGGGAAGAACAATCTTTCTTCTTTGAGTAATAAACTGATAATGTCATCTTTTACTGCTTTGGAATAGCTCTCACCGTCAATACAGTAGAGAAAAGCTTGTTCTTCTTAATGTCATAACCTTAGCTTTTGATGTTTAGGATAACAATGTAATGTTTAAATAACAAAACTACCATAGTATCTTTCAAGAAAACAACCACCAGCCCGAGGGCATATAAACCTATTTATTTTGATGACAAAAACATTGATACTTTTTTTCTTAATTGCCAACATTTAAGAGTTGAGATATATCACATAGTAATCTGGATTTTTAGGAACTCTGGTAGCACAGTGCCTAAAGCACTTGACTGCTAACCAGAAAGCTGGTGGTTCAAACCCACCAGCCACTCCTCGGAAGGAAGGTTGGGCAATCTACTCCCATAGAGATACCGCCTCGGAAACCCAAGGAGGGGTTGCTATAAGTCCGATCCGACTCGACCGCACATAACAACAGCAACAACTTTCAATGTAAGATCCCTGATGAGAAGAGTTGCTTAGTTAATTTTAAACAGATATAAATAAGAACACAGATTTTAAAATGTGTGTTGTGTTTATCACTTCTCAATTATATTTGAATTTCTAAGGTGTGCTGGATAAATATACTCGTCCCTTGAACAAATAGAAAGTTCATAAAAATTTTCAACCTGTCTGCAATTGATACCACTGCCATCAAGTTAATTCTGATTCATAGCAACTCTGTAGGCAGAGTAGAACTTCCCCATAGGGTTTGTAAGGCTATACATCTTTATGGAAGCAGACTGCCATGTCTTTCTCCTGAAGAGGGGCTGGTGGGTTCGAAATCTGACGTTTCATTTAGCAGCCTAGTGCTTCAACCACTGAGCCACCAGGGCTTCTTTTGCAATTGATAACAGTGTTAAAATCTGAATTATATTTAGTTGCTAGCCCAGAACTTTTACCCACCTCAAGTAAGGGTACAAATACAATGTAGAAAATCCACTTGATTTGTTTTAGAATAACAAGATAAAAGTATATACTCTGAACATTTAAGATACTGCCTCAGAAACCCAAGGACAGTTTGCCATAAGTCGGATCCAACTTGATGCCAGTGAGGTTTTTTTTTTTTTTTTTCATCAGTAATGAAAAATTCTTAGAAGAAAGAGAACACAGATACACAAAACCATAGTCTCAGATGAAGCTCAGCTGCTATCAATGACTACTTCATGCTCCTGTCCTCCCATATAAATAGAACCTATTCTGAATATCCTTTCTCTGAGAAGCTTTCCTGACTATTTGCATTGCTTCAGCACTTCTGCGATTAAAAAAAAAAAACAACTCATGACCCTGGAGTCGATTTGACTCAGAGACTCCTCCTTGGGTTTCTGAGGTGGTATCTCTATGGAAGTAGATTGCTCGATCTTCCTTCCGAGGAGTGGCTGGTGGGTTTGAACCGCCAACCTTCTGGTTAGCAGTCAAATGCCTTAGGCACTATGCCACCAGAAATAACAAATCTAGTATTTTTGCTTTCTTTGTTTCTAGTGTAAGAAGTCTTTAATTAACTCCTTGCCTTCTTAGAACTTCAAATGGCCCCAGGAGTCAAGCTTTCTATTCTATGATACAACATTCTTATATTTCCTGTTATTTTTTCTTATATTGCATTTTCTCAACAGCAGCACTATTGACATTTTGGGCAGGGTAATTCTTTGTCGTGGGTGGCTGTCCTGTGCATTAGAGAATCTTCAGTGGCATCCCTGTCCTCTATGCACTAGATGCTCCCCGCCCCCAGCCAGTTGTGACAACCAAAAATGTCTCTAGACATTGACAGATGCTTCCTCAGGACAGCAGGAGGCAAAATTGCTGCTGATTGAAAACTTCTACATAACCAAAAAAAGATTCACACAGAGACACAAAAAAGCAGCATCATAGTTTACATTCCCAATGGGGAAAAAGTTGTATTAAATGTTGGCTCTAACTATTAAAGGAAAATAAAACAAAACTATTCTTGTATTTTTATCTCCCTCATGTCTGATTTTTATTTATATAAAATCACTTCTTTGCTAATGAGTATCTGGTACTGATTTATCAATCCATATAGACTTTTCTTTCAGATCTTTTAGACACCTTTAAATACAAAGACCTCAGTATTTCTATTTTTAATTAAATATTAAATACTTGTAAAAAATTATAATATAAATAAAAGCATACTTTTTAGAAAAAGAACACCTCAGTGCATACTATCCTTACATCTTAGGAGCATCCTGTGTGTTTCTTCTATTCTCATCCATGTGTACTCCAACTTTTACCACAGATAATGATTTAATTCCTTTGCTTTTCCCTTTGGCATTATGACATATGCATGTATCCCTAAATAATAAATTATTTAGTTTTGTATGTTTTTGACCTTTTCATAAATAGAATCATACTGTATGTATTCTGTGTCCTGCTATTTTGTTGCTGTTGTCGGTCAACATTATGTTTGTGAGGTTTATCCATGTTGATGCATATTACTGTATTTTTTCATTTTTGCTTCCGCATATTTCATTATATCATGTTTTACTTATCAATCCCCTGTAAGTGGAAATGTGGGTTATTTTCAGTGTTTTCCCTGTGACGATGCTTCTGTGATCGTTCTTAAACTTTTTCTTTGTACATTTGTGTAGTTCCTGTAGGGTGTATTTCTAGGAGTGAAGTTGCTGAGTCATAGGATTTGTGTAACATCAGATTTACTAGCAAATGCCAAATTGCTTTCCAAAGTTGTACTAATTCGCACTCCCACCAGCAATGTATGAGAGGTTCTGTTGGTCCACATCTTCTCCAACATTTTATACTATCGGACTTTGAAATTTTTGCCAATCTGGTGGGTATAAAATATTATTTCTTATAATTGAATTTGTATTTTCTTGGGTACATTTCCCTGAATATCTTTTCATATGCTTATAGGTCATTACTGGCTCTTTTTATTTTCCCCCCAAATTCTTGTTCATGTCTTTTGTTTATTTTTTAAAAGTATTATTTATCCTTTTACTGGAGTCCCTGGGTGGCACATGTGGTTAAGGAGCTTGGTTGCTAACCACACATCTAGAGGGTCTAGTCCACTCAGAAGTACAGCAGAAGAAAGGCCTGGCAATCTACTTTCAAACAAACAGCCCTTGAAAATGCTACAGAGCACAGTTTTACTCTGACATACACTTCTGACTAAGAAGCCACTTGATGACAACTGGTGTTTGATCTTTTTACTCACTGGTTTGAAGGAGTTCTTTGTATATTCTTGTTACTAATCCCTTGACAAGTATGAAAAACCAAACTCACTGCCATCTAGTCGATTCCAACTCATAGTGACCCCTATTGGGTTTCTGAGACAGTAAATCTTTAAGGAAATAGATTGTCCTATCATCCTTCTGCAGAGCGGCCAGCAGGTTTGAACTACCAGCCTTGTGGTTAGCAGTCAAATGCCTTAGGTACTGCTCTACCAGTATGGCATATATCATCTCGGTTCCTTGCTTGTGTTATAACCCTTTGCTGTGAGCTGTTGATTCCAACTCATCATGGTTCCACGTGTCAGAGTAGAATTACCCCACGTGGTTTTCTGGGCTGTGATCTTTACAGAAGCAGATCACCAAGTCTTTCTCCTGTGGGGCCTTGGGTAAGTTCCAACTGCCAACCTTTCGATTAGCAGCCAAGTGCTTAACTGTTGCACCACCAGGGCTCCTCATCTTAACTCTTGCCCTAATGACAGTTTTTGATGAACTCAAACCCACTGCCATCAGGTTGATTCCGACTCACAGTGACCCTATAGGAGAGCGTAGAACTGCCCCATAAGGCTTCCGAGGGTGTAAGTCTTTACAGAAGCAGACTGTCTCATCTTTCTCCTGTGGAGCAGCTAGTTGGTTCCAGCTGCCAACCTTTTGGTAAGCAACCAAATGCCTTAACCACTGTGCCACCAGAACTCCTTTTTAATGAAGAGAATGAGAATTCTTAATATTGAGGTAGTTGAATTTTCTTTTAAAGTTTAAACTTTTTTTTTTTTTTTTTTATGTCTACCCTATAATCAGGAGCTCTGATGGCATAGTGCATAAGGCATTTGACTGCTAACCAGAGGCTGGTGGTTCAAACCCACCAGCCACTCAGTGGAAGGAAGATTGGGCAATCTACTTCCGTAGTGATATTGCCTCGGAAATCCAAGGAGGATTTGCTATGAGTCGGAAATGACCCAACAGCAGTGGGTGGACCCTATAATCATCAAGATACTGTATATTGATTTCTAAATGTTTATAGTTTTGCCTTTCATATTTATATATTTAAGCTACCTGGAATTGATTTTCTGTGTATTCTCTGAGGTAGGGAACCAGGTACATTTTTTTTTTTCTCATATATAAACCCAGTTTTCCAAAACTACCTTTTCCCTACTGCTTTTCCATGTTGTTTCTGTCAAATATCAAGCATACATTTATGTGTGGATTATTTCTATTCTGTTTGCCTGTCCCTGCTAATACTACACTCACTAAATTATTTTAGCTTTGTAATATGTGTTCATATCTGAACAGTTTTAAAATAAATCTATGCATTTCTTTCCCTTTTAATTATAAAATCAACTTCCAATTTGGTCAGCATAATATGGAATCAATTATAGTGAATTATCTAATTGATAATTTTTAACCTTCTGTATTACTTTGGTCTGTAATTATATTTGATACTAGCTAGTATCAGGACCCTAGTAAAGGCTTTTCAGATTACAATGAAAGATGTATGCCAGGTATCCTCAATAAGATTATCATTGAACTATATATACAGTGTAATGTAATGATTGATAATGAAATATTACTATAGCAATCTCAGCTTATCTGATAAGAATTTGTGAAGATCAAATTGCATAGCTATTCAATAAATATTTCCAATTTCTCCGTTATAAATTCTATGACTTTTCAAAGCTTTTTTTTTTTTTAGGTTATATATATATCTGTGTCATAATTTCTTATATGAATAAAAATATATGTTTGGTCTTTTTCATTAAATGCAATTTTGTTTGCAGTGTGGCCATTTGTCCCGAAGTGTTCTATCAAACAGAAGCAATTTAGAGGAATTAAATATTTAAACTAAGCCTGAATTTTCCATTTCAAAAGAATATGGCTATAAGCAGTTTTCTGGATATGTAAATAAACTTAAATAATTATAAACTTTTAATATTAGGATGTTGACATGCAAATATCTTGGTACCAGGTTTTTGGTCATCATTCTTCCATTGAAGAGTTACTTTATTTCATGAGAGATTATTATATGGTCTTGTAGATCTTGTGGTATCAGAATTTTTAAAGTAAGTTATGGATAAGATATTATTTAAAGAAATTATATTCAAGTTAAATTGCATTTTTATTCAAAGAATACCTAAGAAGAAAATTCAAAACCCAATTATTTAATAAAATTTAATTGTTTTAAAGTATGTCATTGCAACAACTTTTCTTCACCAGTTAAATTCATTAGTGTTGAATAAAACTACAGGTAAACACAGATTCGGTTGAATCAAGTTTTCAAGTTTCTCGCATTTCAAATTAACACAGTTTCTTTTACTTCTGTTTCTTTTCATTGTTTTTACTAATGCTAAATTTCTTGATGTTTAGAATTTTTCATTGTAAATTAAAATAGTATCAAGATGAATATATGGCCATTCAGCCCTTTAATAAAACACAATTCAAGATTACCCAATCTGGTATTCAAACTAGCCACAGAGCCTCAACATTTAATTTTTCTCTTCAAAAATTCCCATTTCTTAATTTTAAATGATTGCGTTTGATGAAGGTACTTGGTTTGGTGCCATAAGAGTAAAAGAAAAAAAAAAGAAACTATTGCTAATTGAAATATTTAGGTTATTTGAAAATAACCAATTTGCTTTTCTTTAGTTGCTTGCGGCCAGCCCCCTGTTGTAGAAAATGCCAAGACCTTTGGAAAGATGAAACCTCGTTATGAAATCAACTCTCTGATTAGATATCACTGCAAAGATGGTTTCATTCAGCGTCACCTTCCAACCATCCGGTGTCTAGGAAATGGAAGATGGGCTATACCTAAAATTACCTGCATGAATCGTAAGTGGTACTTTAGAAAGAATGGACAACCGTGCTATAACCACTACTAGACACCTTCATTTACGGCTATGCTATTGGTAGTTTAGGGTATGGAGCAAGTAATATTGTTGTGTTTTCTTTCTTTCTTTCTTTCCTTCCATGTAGCATCTGCATACCAAAGGACTTATTCTAAGAAATACTTTAAAAATTCCTCATCAGCAAAGGACAATTCAATAAATTCATCAAAACATGATCATCGTTGGAGCCGGAGGTGGCAGGAGTCGAGGCGCTGATCCCTAAACTGGCGAACATGTGTTTTCATCATTTCAGCCAAAGTCCTAACGTCCTGTGCCTTTCCTATCACCTTGAGAAGTATTATTAGTTGTTTGGAGTTCTTGGACCACCATCCAATTGTTTTGGGTTGCCGTACTCTCCAAACATCTTAAGTGGAAGTATTGGCATTCAACAAGAAAGCAAAAACATGAGAGAGAGGAAAAAAAAAAAAAATGAGGGCAGAAAATAACCATTTCCAGCCTACCTAATTTCTTTAGTTTTCTATTTGCCTCTGGTGCAGACCATTTTATAATGTATACCAGCCTACTGTACTATTTAAAAAGCTCAATTTCAGCACCAGTGGCGATGTAAATAAGATGATTTAAATCCTGTATATAAAATAAAAAGTCACACTGAGGTCAGGCATATTTAATGATGATTATGGAGCCTTAGAGGTCTTTAATCATTGGTTCGGCTGCTTTTATGTAGTTTTTTTTAGGCTGGAAATCGTTTCACTTGCCCTTTGTATTTCAGCAAGACTGAGGATGACTTTTTCTGGACAACTAACACACATGCAGTTTGTAGGTCACTGCACCCATCTCAGCCAAAGGTGCAGTTTGCTTCCATGCAATGTGGCTAATGGGCTCCTGATGGAACTTGGGACTGCAATATGGAATTCTTCTTTGCTGCATTCCTTTTCTTCACTTACAAGAAAGGCCTGAATGGAGGACTTTTCTATGGCCAAGAGCATTTTTTAGGGGTCAAAGTGCTAATTATTAACTCAACCAGGTTCTACTTTTTAATGGCTTTCACAACACTAACGCAACAAGGTTACAGATCAATGCATTTCATATGGATATAGACCTAGGGATTCTGGAGGGTGGGGGATTGTTACAACAAAAACAACAACAACAAATGCAAAGAAAGAAATTTTGTATATATAACCATTTTAATCTTTTATAAAGTTTTGAATGTTTATGTATGAATGCTGCAGCTGTGAAGCATACATAAATAAATGAAGTAAGCCATACTGATTTAATTTATTGGATGTTATTTTCTCCAAAACCTGGAAATTGACATAGGATGCTAGTTATTTTTCAGTGTTAGCCTTTATACTTCCCTCACACAGTTTGGAACCATATAATTTAGGTACTCTGCCCCTGACTGAATAGTATGATGGATAGAATGCATCAAGTGTTTATTATGAAAAGAGTGGAAAAGTGCATAGCTTTCAGCACAAATGGTGTTTACTTGGTCTAAGCAAGGGGCATATATAGAGAGATAATACTGGCATATTTTCCCTTTAGGTGGAGTCTGTGTTGAACTTTTTGTCTATCTCTTCCCACTCCATTTCTCCCCTTTATTTGAATAAAGTAACTGCTGAAGATGACTTTGAATCATTATCTACTTAATTTAATGCGTGAAGAAAAATCTGTAATGGAAAGAAGGCATTTAGAAATCTTTCCCTAATTTAAGTTAGAGCAACCTTGAGAAGGGTAGACAACAAATAAAATACAAATAGAAAAAGAGCAAACAGCTTGGCTCAACATTGATTCTTCTTGATGAAACCTGCTTTAGCTTAGAAGGAACAACAGTAGCTATAATCATAAAATTGGCAAGTTTCCTTGGTTGCTGAATTAAATGTAATCTCACCTTTAAGTGTTCTAGAGTACAGAACAACACTGTGTCATTTTTTTCCCTCTTCTATTACAATGCACATAATACTTTCTTGTATTTATATTATAACTTGTATAGTGTAAAATGTGAATGACTTTTTTTTTTTTTTTTTTTGGTGTGTGTGTGAATGAAAATCTAAAATCTTTGTAACTTTTATACCTGCTTTTTGTTTCACCAAAGAAACCTAAAATGCTTCTTTTACTATACTATGACTGGTCTGGTTATTTACAACTTTAAAATATGAATGTGCACCAACATTTTTACATTCTGGATCAATCACAGAGAACCAGCTGCTGGCTTGTGTATTAGCAGAGAGATGATTATATCTGTACCTGGAATTAAGAGTAGAAAATGGAGATAGTGATTCTGATAATGCTTTCATCTCCACACCTATCCATTAATATTAAATATGAAATAAACATACAATAGGTAAATTGGTAGCTCACATTTACAGAATGCTTGCTATTCATTGTGTGCATTATCTTGCAACAAGCCTATGAAAGAAATGTAGCTACTGTCTGCCAGAAAGGGCTCAGACATAGAGGACTCAAGTCATTTGTCTAAAGCTGCATGGCCACTGTGTGGTGGACAGAGGTGATCTGACTCTAGAGCCTACATGATATTTTCAAGAAAAACATACTATGCTCTTGATTATATAGATATAGATGTATATGAGATTAAATAACAGTCTAGAAGATCATACCTAAATAATTACTATAAGATATTAAAAAAAAAAATCTACCAGTTTCCCATCCATCCAGATAGCCATCCATTCCTTTATTTTTCATCCATTCAGTATTAAGCAGTTGCTGTGTGCCAGGCACTGAGAGTCGGCAAGGAATGAGCCAGTCAGTTCTCTTCCCGTATAAAGTTTTCATGCTGAATGCATCCCAAAGGAATTGCCTTAGACACTATCCTCTTTGGTATCTTTATTGATACTATGGAAAAACAAATCCATTGTGTTCTGCAGTGATACAGAAGATTTCATAAGGACAAAGGTAAGTTGAAGATAATTCTGATGTTTCTGCCTTGTTGTTGTTGTTATGTGCCCTCAAGTCAGACCCGAGTCATAGCGATCCCTCCTTGGGTTTCCGAGGCGGTATCACTATGGAAGTAGATTGCCCCATCTCCCTTCCAAGGAGTGGCTGGTGTGTTTGAACTGCCAGCCTTCTGGTTAGCAGTCAAGTGCCTTAGGCACTACGCTACCAGAGCTCCTGTTTCTGCCTTAGAATGTCAGAAATATACAGGGAGTTGGGCAAACATAGATGCAAAAAATACTTTTTTTTTTTTTTCCCCTTCCTGAGCTTTTCCTTTCAGAGTACAGTCGGTTATATCTTTTATCCAGTCAAGGGGCATACAAGAATTTGTGTTTCTCCTGCATCTACACACTTACTAGACATATATAAATCCATCAGATATTTATTGAGTCAGTGCTAATGATGGGATCTTTGGGATGTTCCATTACCCTGAGTACAGGGACAGAATGAAAAATTTAAGAAGGCTTGCACTACTCAAAGTCAGCAAGAAATGGTTTTCTATTATTTCCACAAGCTAGGTGGCATTTCAAAGGGAAGAATGTGCCCCTGCCATGGGGACATACTGAAGAAGACATGGTCTTCCAGGGTCAGTGAAATGGAAAAGAGGTTAGAGATTGTGTAGGAACAGATGCATCATTTTAATGTGACAATAAGTAGACCTTTGATGATGTTAAATGAATTTTCAATATAGACAGGGAATAGGAACTGGATTAGTCATGAGTTATTTTTCCAGAGAGAGTCACTGTGTGGTGCAAAAAGTTAACAGGCTTGGCTGATAACCAAAAATTGGAGATTTGAGTCTACCCAGACACATCTCAGAAGAAAGGCCTGGCAATCTGCTTCTGAAAAACTGTTATTATGTGCTGTCAAGTCAGACCTGACTCATAGCAACCCCTCCTTGGGTTTCTGAGGCAGTATCACTAGGGAAGTAGATTGCCCAAGCTTCCTTCCTAGGAGTGGCTGGTGGGTGTGAACTTCCAGCCTTCTGGTTAGCAGTCAAGTGCTTTAGGCACTATACTACGAGAGCTGTTAAAAATCCCCAGGAGCACACAAGAGGTTGCCATGAGTTGAAATCAACTCAACAGCAACTTGTATGTGTGCATTCATCCAGATCATACATCATGTGCAATAAATGTATGACGTTTTAAACTGAGAAAATAAATTCATTGAAAAAAGGTCCAAAGTTGATTTTGTGAATGACCTATGCATGAATGTGTTCCAAGAAAACAATTTACAAGAGAAAAATATTCTAGATAAAGGCAAAAGGTAATATAAAGTGTCTAATGGCTTGATGATTTCAACATTTTTTAATGTGTTTCTTTTTCTATTCCTTAATATTACAAGTACAGTTAAGTGGCTTTTGAAGAAAAAGGCTCACAGTGATGGGTTAGCATTGATATTTGTGCATCCTTTTTACTGGGCTGCAATTTTCATTTGCTAAACAAACCAAGATTCACCCAAATGATTCTAAAACAAAGTCTATACAGAAATTTTATAAATGTCCTTGAATGAGTCATTCAGGATTGTATAATCTTTTCTCATTATTACTCATTTCTGTATGTTTGAATCCCAGCTGGTTATGAAAGAGCAAATGCCAAAATAGAACAATAATGGTTTTTGTTGAGGTTACAGAACAAGTGAAGCCTGAGCTTTCAATGAAATTTAATTCAGAGTTCTGTCCGAATCCATCAGTGATCCCTGCCAAAGATTGAAAGCTTATTTATGCCTTAAGGCAGTAGTCTTAAATGATTTTTCATAGTGTTTGCGCTAAAATAATTTTTTTAAATAACTAATTCCTTATATTTTAAGCTGTTAAATAAATTTCTCATACATTTAAGCAGCAAAGAACATTATTTGTGGCATATTATAAATATTGACATTCTCAAGGAGGGGTTGCTATGAGTCAGGGCCTACTCGACAGCAAACAACAGCAACAAAATTAAAAAAAAAAAATTAACAACACTCTTTTAACTATAGTCAATGGAATCTATATACCATGTTGTTTGCCGTCGAGTCAGACCCAACTCATAATGACCCCTCCTTGGGTTTCCGAGGCAGTATCACTATGGAAGTAGATTGCCCCATCTTCCTTCCGAGGAGTGGCTGGTGGGTTTGAACCACCAGCCATCTGGTTAGCAGTCAAGTGCCTTAGCCACTGTGCTACCAGAGCTCTAAATACCATAGTGGTTGGATATTCACTATCATCTTTTTAAACAGTACTTGAACAAAAATAGTCTTTTTAAGTAGTCAGCAATTTTACATTTTTTCCTTTCTTATGTTTGGATTTGTGTTTTTTCATTTCCATT